GGCTCATGATCCAAAATGGCTTTGGGCAGCCCGCTAAATCTGATTGAAATCTCTGATCAATGGGAAAAAATGAAACACAATAAATGAAATTTCAAGGGATGCCCCCCCTCTGGACAAAAACCTGAAGTTCTCATGTCTTATTTCTTATCACTAATATACGTTGTTGAATGTTTTGCTGAAAATTGAGCAAAGCCACTTCAGCCGAAAAAAATTCACCTCAGGCGAGATTTCTGGAATCAGTATGAATCAGTCTGATTAGTAGACTGAATCACTCCAGACCAAATTTCTGGTCTGCGGGGGATCCGGGTATACATATATTATCATTTATTATCATATATTATCATATATTATCATATACTATCATATATTATCATATATTATCATATAATATCATATTTATATATGTATATTCGGATGATATACGCATACATAACACGATATCCATAAATTTTAGCCTCTTGTCTTTGGAGGGGGTGATTTTGATTGTATATGTATAGGTGGGGGGGTATCCACAAATGAAATATTTCATTTAGACCCCCCCTCCCCCTCAACAGGGTGATGATAACTTTCCATATGGCAATTGGCTGCCCCGGGCAGAAACCTCTCAGAGAAATCATCAGATGTGGTATTCAATTTCCAGAGTCGCCGCTGAGAAGAAAAGGCTGTGTCAATGGGGCCAGGATTGTCCACCGTTCTGGAAGTGACAGGTGGAGAATGTTCAACATTGTTCAGCTGCTTTGGGACCAAAAGTAGATTTGGTCCACAAACATATGTATTGTAGAGCTTCGCACACCGGCGATGCCTGTAGGGGTCGGGGGAGGGAAAGAGAGAGGGGGATTTCATCTGAACTTGCGGACATGACATGCTGCGAGCTGCATCTTCGTTGTCGTCAGCGTCATTGTCGTCGTCGTCGTTGTCGTTGTTGTTGTCGTCGTTGTTGTTGTTGCTTCTGGTCCTCCTTCTCGTTCTCGTTCTTGTTCGTGTTGTCGTTGTCGTTGTCGTTGTCGTTGTCCTTGTTGTCGTCCTTGTCGTCATTGTCATCGTTATCGTCGGTGTCGTTGTTGTCGTCGTCTTCGTCGTCGTCGGCGCCGTCGTCGTCGTCGTTGTTGTTATTGTTGTTATAGCTGTTGCTGCTTGGTCCTGTTGTCGTTGTCGTTGTTATCTTTGTAGTTGGTACTTTTTGCAAACCCCCCAAAATCGTCAAATCGACGGCTTTTGCAAACCCCAAAAAGCGTCAAATAGGCGGTGTTTTCGCGATTTTTCACATTCTCGGAACAAAAAACACCGTAAATACCGATGTTTTTGGCTCCGCGCCAACGCAAAACCACGGTATTTACGAGGTTTTGAGCCTCTGCTAGCAAAAATCACGGTATTTACAGTGTTTTGTGGCCCGGGCCTAGCAAAAACACTGGTATTTACGCAGTTTCCTGCATGTTGTCAGAAGATTTTTTTGGATGCCAAAGGCACAAAAACATTGTAAATTACACGATTTTTACGCGTGGACAGTACCAAAAAAATATGAAAATTGACTAAAAATCGACCAAAAAAAGGCCAACAAGGACCTCCAAAAAGCATCTTCAAATTTTACCATCTTTTTTCCCACCCCGAACCCCGAAAAACGTGAAACCCCCAGCAGGCTGAAGGATTTTAGGGGAGGGTCGGCGGCAGGGTCGGCGGCAGGGGCGCGCCCCGTCCTCGTCGTCCTCGTCCTCGTCCTCGTCCTCGTCCTCCTCGTCCTCCTCGTCCTCGTCCTCCTCGTCCTCGTCCTCGTCGTCCTCGTCCTCGTCCTCGTCCTCGTCGTCCTCGTCCTCGTCGTCCTCGTCCTCGTCCTCGTCCTCGTCGTCCTCGTCCTCCTCGTCCTCGTCCTCCTCCTCGTCCTCCTCCTCGTCGTCCTCCTCGTCCTCCTCCTCGTCGTCCTCGTCCTCCTCCTCGTCGTCCTCGTCCTCGTCCTCGTCCTCGTCCTCCTCGTCCTCGTCCTCCTCGTCCTCGTCGTCCTCGTCCTCCTCGTCCTCGTCCTCGTCGTCGTCGTCTGTCCTCGTCGTCCTCGTCCTCGTCGTCCTCGTCGTCCTCGTCGTCCTCGTCGTCCTCGTCCTCGTCCTCGTCCTCGTCGTCCTCGTCCTCCTCCTCCTCCTCCTCCTCGTCGTCGTCGTCGTCGTCGTGGTGTAGGCGTAGTCGTATTCGTAGTAGTATAATAGTCATAGTAGTCGTAGTGTAGTCGTAGTGTAGTCGTAGTGTGGTCGTAGTGTAGTCGTAGTGTAGTCGTAGTGTAGTCGTAGTGTAGTCGTAGTAGTCTTTTAGTAGTAGTAGTAGTAGTAGTAGTAGTAGTAGTAGTAGTAGCAGTAGCAGTAGCAGTAGCAGTAGCAGTAGGAGTAGGGGTAGGAGTAGGAGTAGGAGGTAGGAGGAGGAGTAGTAGTAGTAGTGGTGGTGGTGGTGGTGGTAGTGGTCGTGGTAGTCGTGGTAGTCGTGGTAGTCGTGGTAGTCGTGGTAGTCGTGGTAGTCGTGGTAGTAGTGGTAGTAGTGGTAGTAGTAGTAGTAGAAGAGAAGTTCGAGAGATGTTTCACGTGATGTGCCCTTTCCGGATTCTCCGCAAAAATTCGTTGAGAAAAAGCCGGTGCAAAGTGGCAGCATTGTGCGGCGGCGGGTGGAGCCAGGTGGAGGTTAACCACGGTTTTTGATGTGCATAAGTGCTGCAGAAGCTGCATAAGCCATCCATTTCATTGTCATCAGCGTTAAGTTCGGCGGGATTAAATATATTTTGCGTGGTAATTGTTCGAGTCGCTTCGTGACGAGACCCCCCCCCCGCACCCAGGGAATAGGACAGAGAGGAAAAGTGCGGGCCTACTTGGACCAACCAAAAGCCGACTGGGGTCAAACTTGCCCGTCCTTGGCCTTAAGTTGGACCGAACGGGAGCGTACTTACTTGGGCCCAACTTTAACTTGCGCCGAACTTGGGCCAGTTGGCTCCGACTTGCCCCCAAAGGGTCCCAACTTGGTCCAACTTGGGCCCAAGGTGCTGTTGGGCTGAAGTTGGGCCCAAAGGGATCCAGATGGATTCCAAATTGAAGCCATGTGATGCACATGAGCGTCAAGGTCATGTTTTAACATGCCGCAACTTGGCCTCTGGCGACAGCTTCACACCGAGTTGGGCCCAACGGAGACACAACATGGGGATCATTGCTTCAAACGAAGAATCATCGATAGCAAAAAGACGTGGAAACTACCAGTGAAAACGGGTGTTTTTTGCTTCAGCAAGGGCCGAAGTTCCTACCATTTGGGGGTCCAAGTTGGGGCAACTTGGCCCATCTTAGATTAGAGCCAAGTTGGGCCGAAGTTGGGGCCCAACTCGCTGGCTGAAGCTGCGCCAGACGGACAGATCGGTCCATTCGTATCTCTCTCTCTGCTAACCTTCGGTGCGGGCGGATTTCATGGCCAAGCGCCATTTCATGGCTGCGAGGAAAAGGCTTGCAAGGTCAGCATTTCCTGGGCATTGTTCGTGGCCAAGAGTGGCCAAGAGTGTGCTAGATACGTGGCAGTATGCCGGAATACATGTCAGTACACATGTCAATCAGTGAGTAAGAGACTGGACATAGTCGAAACTCCACTTGTGTGACACGAAGCATTTGTTCAAAGCAACATAGGGGCCCTATCAGCGATTGCATCTGGCTCACAGCGGGGTGTTTGTTGACAAGTACTTAGGAACTGGGAGTCAAGCAGACACATAAGGATTGTGTATGCTTCATCAGTCAAAGAGGAAGGTATGGTTGGACGTATTGAATGTATGCCATCGGTTTTTCCTACCTGTTGGATTGTTGTTGAAACCGGTTGAACACCCCCCATCCATTGCGCGTGCATCGAATCAGTATTTCGTAGCCCTGCGAACCGCAAGAAAAGTAGAGACCGGAAGGGCCGGCCATGGAATGAACTTTGTTCGATTTGCCCCTATTGGTCATGCTTTCGCAGGTTTTTGTGCTCCGTTGCTTGCATTTGAGCCTTTGTTGATCGATCCTCTCATGACCAGAATCTTGGCTGAGCGCCTCGATTTGCGGAATTTCGGATAGAATCAACGGGCTGACTTTGGAGTCTGCCTGTTTTGAAGCAGAGGAAGAGTGAAACAGAAAGATCTGAATCTGTTTAAAACTGGCTGTGCCAATGTATGTGGCGAAGTCCAGTGTTTCAGTCCCGAGGGTCAAAACTGGTTGGGTTCCATTAATCCACCAGCGGCTTAGTGGAAATTCGCGTTGGAACTTTTCCCATCCCTTCCCAAAGAACAGGTACAAAATGCAAATTTGCCAAAATAGCTTAAAATTGCCAAAAATGCCTAAAGTTGCAATAGTTGCCAAAATTGCCAAAATTGCCCAAAAATGCTTCAAATTGCCCAAAATCGGCAAAAAAGGAAAAGTTTGCAAAACTTCCAAATTTGCATGCGAAATCCCCTTAAAATTTGAGCCAAATCAGCGAAATTCTCAAATTTGTCAAAAATTGCCAAATTTGCCAAAATAGCCAAAAATTGCAAAAAATGCCTAATTTTGCCAGAGTTTCCAAATTTGCCAAAATTGACCAAAAATGCTTCAATTTGCCAAAAAAAATCACCAAATTTGCCTAAATTTGCCCAAAAAAGTAATTTTGCAAGAGCTGCAAAATTTGCTTGCAAAAGGCCTTTAAAATTTGACCAAAATTTGCCAAATTTTCCAAATTTGCCAAAAATGACCAAATTTGCCAAAAATTGACAAATTTGCCAAAATAGCCGAAAATTGAAAGGAACAGAACTGATGCACTTTGCAAAAGGCTGGGAGAGGTGAAAACTATTGGAACTTTTGCCTTTGCTGCGAATCCTGCGTGCTTTGGAGCATCGCAACATCGCAGGTAAGTTGAGTGGTGCATTTTGAAGACTCGTTCCCATTAGCATCATTAGCCAAGTTAGAAAGATATTCCTGCCGTGTGCATGTTCTCAGAGTTTCCGACGCAAAGAATTCTCAAAGGGAACTCGCTGACAATCTGCCATGAGGACTTGAAACGGCGACCTGATATGGACTTGCAGCTGTGCGAAGGAAGCGCCGTGAGGGCAGATTCACCACTGTTTCACGTTGCAAATTCTTGTAGGTTTGTTGCTTGCTCCTTCCCCTCCCTTGTGAACAGTATAACTTCTAGGAGAAACGAATAGTTCTCCACGTTTTGGGAACCACAACATGGATTTCAACATGGCTTGGGAAAACCTGAACCAGCAGCTATGGGAGGATATCCCTTTGTTCACCTTTACTGAATTGTGATAGAATCTTTAGTTCCTCACAGAGCCAGGCAACAAACTTGGCCGCACACCAGAAGTATTTCCTGATACAGGGGTATTTGCAACTGCAGTCATGTGCTACTTTGGTTCCTTTGAGGAACCAGGCTCAGCGCTCCTTTCACACGTGATTGCTTTTTCTCTTCTTAATTCATACCCTTCTGTCCAAACCTGCCAATTCTTGAGATGACTGACGTTTGACATGTTACTTTCCGAGTTTTGAGTGTGCGCTTTCAAGCTTGCATCATGGACTTTTGAAGCAGTCTCCAGCACCAGTCTCTGGATGAGTGGGCGAATTTAGCAGATGTCCTGGGTCACCCAAAACCTGGATCGATTGAGCCATCTGACGATAGCTAGTCGCACCAGTTGTGATCAGCCTGGGAACTCATCCCAGGCAAAATTGTCATATGGCTCATGTCATGCTTCAGTACTTTTGAAATCCACACATATCTCCATGTTTGAGCCATACCCGTCACAGCGAAGGAGGGACAGCAGGGTTGCGGCAGGGATACAGAGCTGTCGTGGTTGTCACAACAGAGCCTGGGGTACGCTGGGCATATCTTTCCGGCGATTCACTGTTTCAGCGCATCCAAACGATGGTAGATCGATGAGTTTTGGCAACTGAAAAGCGACCAACATCCAAGAATAGTTGAATAGTTGAATAGTTGCGTTCGGCCTTTGAATCATTTTCAGCTAACTAGTCATTGCATTTTTGTTCCAGAACATGCAACTCCCAGGTGTAGCCGAAAAGGCCGGTGAAAAGTGCACTTCAGTCAGCACCCGGCTGCGGGCTTCTACAACAGATAGCGAAGAACCAGCTGGATTCCAGTGGATTTTTGTTCCATGTTTGATTACTGGAGCGCCCCCTAGACTTGGATGAAAACGAGGCTAAAGAGCGAAGCTAAGAAGTTGCCGCCCCCACAGGCTTCAAGTAGTAGTAGAGTCTATCTAGCAAGTTCCTGCATTGATCCAACATCTTTGCAGCATCAGCCATTTGATCCGTCCGATGATTGCTGGTTGTGGTGTTGGATCAGCTTTGAACATGTGAAATGTGAAGCTTGAGCATCGCGACCTGAACCTCTATGAGTTTCGTCGTGCTTTGGGATCCAGTCGTGTGCAGGGCCATGCCTCTTCCCCAGTTCCCAAACGAATGTTGATGTACCCAGCATCAATTTGCGTTGCATGTGCTACTCGGTGCTTAATGAAAGCACTGCCGCATGGACATGCTTGTGGTTCCAATGTTGCTCTGATTCACTGGTGTTGATGTGGCTTGCTACAGGTCTGTGCAGTGTGGTTTGCCGATGACTAAAGTGAAACTCTCCCCGTCATCGACATTCCTTTTTGCAGCTTGCTTCTGTAGACTCAGGGGTGAGGCTAGGTCCGTGCAGCTGAGACTGATGTGTTCTCGTGACGAAAGCCGTAAGCTAGCGGTAGCTATAGAACCCGCATGTCGGACATACCCAAAAAACGCAAAGTCCCATGTCATCTGCAAAGTGAAAAAGCAGAAAAATGCATAAGTCCCGTGTCATCTGTAAAGTGCCTCGGAAAAAAATCACATGACATGGGACCTCTGCAATTGTTTGGGCTCTAAAAGAAGCAAAACATGCAGATGTGTTTTCCTGGAAGTCCTATGTCATGTGTAAATTTAAGAACTTATTCACATGTCATCTGTCAAAAAAATTGAAAAATACCTGCCCGTTGGGTCGGCGCATAACTCCCATGTCATATTTTAAAAAATATTGATACATAAATCCCATGTCATGTGCCAAAAAACCTCGGCTAAATCGGCTGCAAAGTCCCGTGTCATCTGCGCCTACTATAGACTCTTGGTGCCAGATGGTTTCTAGGCCCTGGGTCCAAACGAGCTTTCAACAGCTGTTGTTGTGGCTGTTCCTGTCGGGTCACAAGGACTGCACCACTCAGTCACTGAGGGGCAAGCATCACCTGCACTCACTCCTGATGGCTGTTGGCGGGTCTGGAAACTGAGCAGCATAAACTTTGGGTCATCAGCATCTCGTTCCAGCTTCGGTCCCTTAAATCACGGGAGCGGATGCCGAAGCAGCTCCAGGGGGTGCAGGTGGCCCACCTGATTGAGCCTGGCGGGCACCGGTGGAAAGGGTGAAGAGTCTGATATCAAAATCATCAAACACTCAGCTGCTTTCAGATGGCCAATGGCAGCGCCTGTCGTCACATCTTACACCAGTTGAACCGACACTTTGGGAACATCCACCAGTTGAGCCGGTTGAGCTACTTGACAATAGCTAGCGGTAACGCAATGCTCAAGTGAAACTTAAGCGTTGTCTATTGACCTGAATGTCAACAAGCTTGGAGGTCGAGGGCAGGGAAAGTCAGTGAGTCAGTGGTTGGTGAAAATTGTGGCACATGGATGTGCTCGTGGTTCCAATGCTTGAGTAGTCCATCTGGCTTGATGCCACCAATAGATGTAGTCGTAAGCTGCAGTATTTGATCCCTTACACATCCGTTTGAAGAGAAACGTCGAATGGGCAGAGTGCCTGTTGCCTGGGAAATGATGTCAAACAACGGCCTTGGTTCAACCAACACTTTGGGAGCATCCACCGGTTGAGATATATATCTGACGATAGCTGCTTGTGGTGTTGGATTGCCCCAGTATGCCCCAGTATGCCCCAGTGAAACTTAAGCGTTGTCTATTGACCTGAATGTCAACAAGCTTGGAGGTCGAGGATAGGAATTCAGAAGTCCTTTCGTGGGAACTTTGTGCATTGAAGCGTCTGTGAGAAAGGTAGGCGCTGTAGCCACCAGCGTGGATAGAGCAGAAGAGCTTCGGTTTGGGCCACCTGGGTGAGAATTTCTACTGAGGAAGCTGCTGCCAAATGCCAGCTTTGCTGAGGTAAAACCGGTGACCACAGCGAGCTGAGGAAACCTGTTGTGGTGCCAGTGTGGTGAGTACCAACTGCTCGACGTTTGTTGAGCCATTTGACGATAGCCAGTTGCGGTGTTGGATTGCCCCTGTGAAACTTAAGCCTTGCCTTGTCACCTGAATGTTGACAAGCTTGGCATGCGACTGCAGGGCCAGTCAGTGAGTCCACGGTTGGTGAAAAGCGTGTCACATGGATGTGATAGTGGTCCAAACGATTGAGGAGCCTATCTGGCCAGAAGCTCTACTTGACGTAGTCCTAAGGTGCAGTATATTTAGTTCAGTGAAACTCGCAGCCTGTGGATTTGCCAACGCACGCAGGTAGCACAAGCAAAGCTCGGACCTGTGGAGGACGACCTTGGGCTGTTGACAGCTGTCGCCAACAAAGACCTCTTGGAAGCTGCAGATTTTGGATCCAGGAGATTTCTGAAGAGGTTGAGGAGGTCGGATGCTTTCCATACCCTCAGAAGGATGAATTTTGTTGGGCCAATTTAGCAAATGAGCCACCGTAAAGAGTCCGGCAATAGAGCACGTGTAAGGGATGGACATCGGTTTTCAAATATTGTACAAATATGAGGTAAGCGATGGGACCTTCCCAAATGGCGATACACGCCATAAACTTAAAAAAAACTCATTGTGGTGTTGCATCAGCCAGTGAAACTTAAGCTCTGAGTCCTGACTTGAGCATCAATAAACCCTTTGGTGCTTGGGGTCCAGCCAACTGCCGTGCCATGCCTCAGTTCTTGCCACGCTGCAGCATTCCGCTCAGTGGGTGGTGAAAGCTATTTTCACCCTGGCCAAGACTGACTTCGCAGACACGAGACGATTCACATGTCCTCTGGGGCTGAGCACAGAACAGTGAGCATTCAGCTGCAAGACCTTGCATTATTGGTAGGCAAATAGCTGGTTGTGTTGTTGGATCAGCCTAGAGCCAGCCAAGCTTAAGCTTTGAGTCCTCTCCAAAAGTCTGTGTCACTTCTTTCTGAGGAAAGAAACATCTGTGGCTTCAAATCTCACTTCTTTGCCAGCAAACTGTATCTCATTCAATGTTGCAGCCAGACAAATCCAGACAAGGTTTTGAAAGGTGGGCAGCTAGGCGCAGTCAAAAACGGACAGCCCGACGAATTGCATAGAGTCTGGCACCAGGTTGCTGTTTGCACCTACCCGCATTTGTCCAAACCCCACCTGGGTAGATTCAAAATTCAAGTGGCGCAAGGTTATATACAGTCTCGATCAAAAAATGGACGATCCGGTCTTGAAAAATATCACTGTAGCATTTGAATTATCTTACATTAGTTATTGTAAATATAACCAATCGTGTTAAAACATGTATATACTTTGCAAATTTGGTGTGGAAAATCAATGAACACCATCCTAGGGGAAAGAAACCCATGTGGCTTCAAATCCCATTTCTGTGACAGGATTGCCTTGTCACCTGAATGTTGACAAGCTTGGCATGCGACTGCAGGGCCAGTCAGTGAGCCCACGGTTGGTGAAAAGCGTGTCACATGGATGTGATAGTGGTCCAAACGATTGAGGAGCCTATCTGGCCAGAAGCTCTACTTGACGTAGTCCTAAGGTGCAGTATATTTAGTTCAGTGAAACTCGCAGCCTGTGGATTTGCCAACGCACGCAGGTAGCACAAGCAAAGCTCGGACCTGTGGAGGACGACCTTGGGCTGTTGACAGCTGTCGCCAACAAAGACCTCTTGGAAGCTGCAGATTTTGGATCCAGGAGATTTCTGAAGAGGTTGAGGAGGTCGGATGCTTTCCATACCCTCAGAAGGATGAATTTTGTTGGGCCAATTTAGCAAATGAGCCACCGTAAAGAGTCCGGCAATAGAGCACGTGTAAGGGATGGACATCGGTTTTCAAATATTGTACAAATATGAGGTAAGCGATGGGACCTTCCCAAATGGCGATACACGCCATAAACTTAAAAAAAACTCATTGTGGTGTTGCATCAGCCAGTGAAACTTAAGCTCTGAGTCCTGACTTGAGCATCAATAAACCCTTTGGTGCTTGGGGTCCAGCCAACTGCCGTGCCATGCCTCAGTTCTTGCCACGCTGCAGCATTCCGCTCAGTGGGTGGTGAAAGCTATTTTCACCCTGGCCAAGACTGACTTCGCAGACACGAGACGATTCACATGTCCTCTGGGGCTGAGCACAGAACAGTGAGCATTCAGCTGCAAGACCTTGCATTATTGGTAGGCAAATAGCTGGTTGTGTTGTTGGATCAGCCTAGAGCCAGCCAAGCTTAAGCTTTGAGTCCTCTCCAAAAGTCTGTGTCACTTCTTTCTGAGGAAAGAAACATCTGTGGCTTCAGATCTCACTTCTTTGCCAGCAAACTGTATCTCATTCAATGTTGCAGCCAGACAAACCAGACAAGGTTTTGAAAGGTGGGCAGCTAGGCGCAGTCAAAAACGGACAGCCCGACGAATTGCATAGAGTCTGGCACCAGGTTGCTGTTTGCACCTACCCGCATTTGTCCAAACCCCACCTGGGTAGATTCAAAATTCAAGTGGCGCAAGGTTGTATACAGTCTCGATCAAAAAATGGACGATCCGGTCTTGAAAAATATCACTGTAGCATTTGAATTATCTTACATTAGTTATTGTAAATATAACCAATCGTGTTAAAACATGTATATCTTTGCAAATTTGGTGTGGAAAATCAATGAACACCATCCTAGGGGAAAGAAACCCATGTGGCTTCAAATCCCATTTCTGTGACAGTGAAGGTAACAGCATCCAATCTTGCAACCAGACAGTCCAGATAAGGTACAGCCCTGCATAGAGTCTTATGGCACCAGGTTGCTGTCTGTCTCAAGAATCGGTTCATTGATTCACTCGTAGGTGCGCCAAGTACAACGATCCTTGGAAAGAGCTTTAGCAAACGTATCAAGCGATTCACCCAGGTTCGAACCCGGTGAAAAACCGATTTCCCTACAAACGAACACTGTTCTTTATGAAATGAAAGAATTTATATAGACAAGTTGGACAAGAGAAGAGGTTGAGGAGGTCGGATGCTTTCCATACTCTCAGAAGGATGAATTTTGTTGGGCCAATTTAGCAAATGAGCCACCGTAAAGAGTCCGGCAATAGAGCACGTGTAAGGGATGGACATCGGTTTTCAAATATTGTACAAATATGAGGTAAGCGATGGGACCTTCCCAAATGGCGATACACGCCATAAACTTAAAAAAACTCATTGTGGTGTTGCATCAGCCAGTGAAACTTAAGCTCTGAGTCCTGACTTGAGCATCAATAAACCCTTTGGTGCTTGGGGTCCAGCCAACTGCCGTGCCATGCCTCAGTTCTTGCCACGCTGCAGCATTCCGCTCAGTGGGTGGTGAAAGCTATTTTCACCCTGGCCAAGACTGACTTCGCAGACACGAGACGATTCACATGTCCTCTGGGGCTGAGCACAGAACAGTGAGCATTCAGCTGCAAGACCTTGCATTATTGGTAGGCAAATAGCTGGTTGTGTTGTTGGATCAGCCTAGAGCCAGCCAAGCTTAAGCTTTGAGTCCTCTCCAAAAGTCTGTGTCACTTCTTTCTGAGGAAAGAAACATCTGTGGCTTCAAATCTCACTTCTTTGCCAGCAAACTGTATCTCATTCAATGTTGCAGCCAGACAAACCAGACAAGGTTTTGAAAGGTGGGCAGCTAGGCGCAGTCAAAAACGGACAGCCCGACGAATTGCATAGAGTCTGGCACCAGGTTGCTGTTTGCACCTACCCGCATTTGTCCAAACCCCACCTGGGTAGATTCAAAATTCAAGTGGCGCAAGGTTATATACAGTCTCGATCAAAAAATGGACGATCCGGTCTTGAAAAATATCACTGTAGCATTTGAATTATCTTACATTAGTTATTGTAAATATAACCAATCGTGTTAAAACATGTATATCTTTGCAAATTTGGTGTGGAAAATCAATGAACACCATCCTAGGGGAAAGAAACCCATGTGGCTTCAAATCCCATTTCTGTGACAGTGAAGGTAACAGCATCCAATCTTGCAACCAGACAGTCCAGATAAGGTACAGCCCTGCATAGAGTCTTATGGCACCAGGTTGCTGTCTGTCTCAAGAATCGGTTCATTGATTCACTCGTAGGTGCGCCAAGTACAACGATCCTTGGAAAGAGCTTTAGCAAACGTATCAAGCGATTCACCCAGGTTCGAACCCGGTGAAAAACCGATTTCCCTACAAACGAACACTGTTCTTTATGAAATGAAAGAATTTATATAGACAAGTTGGACAAGAGAAGAGGTTGAGGAGGTCGGATGCTTTCCATACCCTCAGAAGGATGAATTTTGTTGGGCCAATTTAGCAAATGAGCCACCGTAAAGAGTCCGGCAATAGAGCACGTGTAAGGGATGGACATCGGTTTTCAAATATTGTACAAATATGAGGTAAGCGATGGGACCTTCCCAAATGGCGATACACGCCATAAACTTAAAAAAACTCATTGTGGTGTTGCATCAGCCAGTGAAACTTAAGCTCTGAGTCCTGACTTGAGCATCAATAAACCCTTTGGTGCTTGGGGTCCAGCCAACTGCCGTGCCATGCCTCAGTTCTTGCCACGCTGCAGCATTCCGCTCAGTGGGTGGTGAAAGCTATTTTCACCCTGGCCAAGACTGACTTCGCAGACACGAGACGATTCACATGTCCTCTGGGGCTGAGCACAGAACAGTGAGCATTCAGCTGCAAGACCTTGCATTATTGGTAGGCAAATAGCTGGTTGTGTTGTTGGATCAGCCTAGAGCCAGCCAAGCTTAAGCTTTGAGTCCTCTCCAAAAGTCTGTGTCACTTCTTTCTGAGGAAAGAAACATCTGTGGCTTCAAATCTCACTTCTTTGCCAGCAAACTGTATCTCATTCAATGTTGCAGCCAGACAATCCAGACAAGGTTTTGAAAGGTGGGCAGCTAGGCGCAGTCAAAAACGGACAGCCCGACGAATTGCATAGAGTCTGGCACCAGGTTGCTGTTTGCACCTACCCGCATTTGTCCAAACCCCACCTGGGTAGATTCAAAATTCAAGTGGCGCAAGGTTATATACAGTCTCGATCAAAAAATGGACGATCGGTCTTGAAAAATAAAAAACATCATAACATAAACAGAAATTAAGATATGAAACTGAAAAAACATATATAATATACATTTATATTAGTTGTTTATCACTGTAGCATTTGAATTATCTTTCATTAGTTATTGTAAATATAACCAATCGTGTTAAAACATGTATATACTTTGCAAATTTGGTGTGGAAAATCAATGAACACCATCCTAGGGGAAAGAAACCCATGTGGCTTCAAATCCCATTTCTGTGACAGTGAAGGTAACAGCATCCAATCTTGCAACCAGACAGTCCAGATAAGGTACAGCCCTGCATAGAGTCTTATGGCACCAGGTTGCTGTCTGTCTCAAGAATCGGTTCATTGATTCACTCGTAGGTGCGCCAAGTACAACGATCCTTGGAAAGAGCTTTAGCAAACGTATCAAGCGATTCACCCAGGTTCGAACCCGGTGAAAAACCAATTTCCCTACAAACGAACACTGTTCTTTATGAAATGAAAGAATTTATATAGACAAGTTGGACAAGAGAGGAGCTCCAGGTCTTGTTGCGAAAGCAGTTCCTCAGCATTTGCGGGGGCACGGAGCCTTTTGAAGCCCCACGCGCTGGGATCACAATTCAACCCATGGTATTGTTGAGGAAGCTGCTGCCAAATGCCAGCTTTGCTGAGGTAAAACCGGTGACCACAGCGAGCTGAGGAAACCTGTTGTGGTGCCAGTGTGGTGAGTACCAACTGCTCGACGTTTGTTGAGCCATTTGACGATAGCCAGTTGCGGTGTTGGATTGCCCCTGTGAAACTTAAGCCTTGCCTTGTCACCTGAATGTTGACAAGCTTGGCATGCGACTGCAGGGCCAGTCAGTGAGTCCACGGTTGGTGAAAAGCGTGTCACATGGATGTGATAGTGGTCCAAACGATTGAGGAGCCTATCTGGCCAGAAGCTCTACTTGACGTAGTCCTAAGGTGCAGTATATTTAGTTCAGTGAAACTCGCAGCCTGTGGATTTGCCAACGCACGCAGGTAGCACAAGCAAAGCTCGGACCTGTGGAGGACGACCTTGGGCTGTTGACAGCTGTCGCCAACAAAGACCTCTTGGAAGCTGCAGATTTTGGATCCAGGAGATTTCTGAAGAGGTTGAGGAGGTCGGATGCTTTCCATACCCTCAGAAGGATGAATTTTGTTGGGCCAATTTAGCAAATGAGCCACCGTAAAGAGTCCGGCAATAGAGCACGTGTAAGGGATGGACATCGGTTTTCAAATATTGTACAAATATGAGGTAAGCGATGGGACCTTCCCAAATGGCGATACACGCCATAAACTTAAAAAAACTCATTGTGGTGTTGCATCAGCCAATGAAACTCAAGCTCTGAGTCCTGACTTGAGCATCAATAAACCCTTTGGTTGAACACCAATTGGTTGAACACTTTCCATCTGCTTGAGTTGTGGCAGATGTTTGTTGCAGATAGGCTTTGCAAGGTAAGGAGCCTTTAAAGCACCCTATACATGGCGCTGGAAACCGCAGTTGCTAGCAAGGCCAGTTACAGCTTGGAAACGAGAGTCAGATTGTCAACATAAAGAACTGAAGAACATTGTCTTGCAAGTGCACTTTGGTTTTGGACGCAAAACAGGAGCACGTTCTACTTTGAAGGCGGCAAATCTAGGCCACGCATGATTGAATTATTTCCGGAAGCTCCATTAACGAGCACAAGGGTGCTTCTCTTCCAGCTCTAGAAGCTGTACATGTCAATCGCCTTGACATGCAGTTGGACTTGGCAAGGTCAAGGTCTAAAGTCACGCTTACTGCAATGCTGAACTGAGCAAATCGTGGTAGTTCGACGTCAACATTGAAGTTGGAGGATTGAGCAAAGGCTTCCCGACGCGCGCAGAATCGTTGCATCAGACTGGCTCAAGCACGTGTCAATTCTGTTGACTGCAGCATTCCCCTGTGAGGTTGGGCGAGCACCTTGCTCTTGTATCTGGTTTAAATAAATGCTGGCGCACAACCTGGCAAGACCCGCTTTGGATTTCAGAAGTGGCTTCAAGTACGACTGGCCTTCAGCTTCAAAGTTGACAACACACTGTCACCAAAGTCCCAAACCCACACAACAGCCAAGGGGAAAAAGCAGTTGTCGCGTGCCTAGATGGAGCAAAGAAATGTCAACCCACAGTCTCCAGATAGCTGGTTTCTGATGGATAGAAGGGCCACTTGAGAATTTGCCACGACTCGGACAACTTGCACCACTCACAACCTCGCAGCAGCCAGGGTCTCTGGCTACATAGACTTGGCGGGGGTAGCGGTATTTCTCCGTTGGGAGTACAAGAGTGACGTCGGACACCAGCTGCCTTCAGAGGCTTCGAGATAGGCAAACGCTTTTACCATGTGGGCTGTTTGATTCTGACCACAACAGGTATGAGGAGCCACATCTTCGGCATGAGCCCATTGTTTTTGTTCTCGGCATTGCCAGAGCCAGACTTTTTGGCAAAGGTGATCAGCAGAACAGAGCCGAATAAAATGTCTGGTTGCTTCGGTTAAATCACTGTCAGGTGACAGGCTCGGGATAGCTGCCTGACGCTGAAAGATACACTTTGCTCCGACTGACACAGAAAGTTGCAGTAAGGTAGCACTTCGTTGTGCATCAGAGATGGCGGAAGTAGATGACTCCTGTTTCTTGAAAGCGGCTGTTGCCTGCCATGAATGTGCAACCGGAGGCCTCAGGCATTAACATTAACTGATCATAATCTTGAAAGCATAAGCCGCAATCACGTGACGTGAGGAATGCTTGGGAGAGAAAGGTTCACGAAGTTCCTTGACTAGATTCAGCACTCAGCTTGAAGCCCACCTGAAAACTCGGCTTTCGGTTGCTGACACTGTTCCCATATTTAATGAGATGGTGCAGCCCAAGATTTTTCCATCGCCTCCATCTGAAGAATTCTGAAGGTACGGCCTTTTTGGCAGAGTAGCCAAAGTTTCCAATGTTTGGACGTGCGAGTGACTGCTACTTAACTGCTAATTTCTTATTCACATTCCGGCAATTTCAAGAGTGTGCCTTTCATTGCGGAAGGCCAAACGACACCGGTCTCTAAGCCTGGGAGTATCGCAGTGGCACCAGCTAAAATCGGGGTTGGGGGGCCAGTGCTTTTGCGCCCAAGGCCAAAGAGAAGTAAACCTCTGGGCCTTCGCT